ATCCGAGCAGGACATGTGAGAGGGGTCGGCCCCGGCCGCCAGCCCGCCTTCACATTCTCTGCTCGGATATCCGAGCAGGACATGTGAAGGGGGTCGGCCCCGACCGCCGGCCCGCCTGCACATCCTCTGCTCGGATATCCGAGCAGGACATGTGAAGGGGGTCGGCCCCGGCCGCCGGCCCGCCTTCACATCCTCTGCTCGGATATCCGAGCAGGACATGTGAAGGGGGTCGGCCCCGGCCGCTGGCCCACCTCACATCCTCTGCTCGCAAATCCGAGCAGGACATGTGAATGGGGGTCGGCCCCGGCCGCTGGCCCACCTTCACATCCTCTGTCGCGGTGGCCAGTTCTCGCCGCCGGGAAACCGACCACTTTCGTTCGAAAGTGGTCGGTTTTATTTTTTCCCTCCGTCACCTCGGCTGGACACGACGACGACGACGACGACGGAGGGCGATGACAAACACGACGACGGACGACGCGACGACGACGACGACGACGACGACGACGATGGACGACGACGACGATGACGGACGACGCGACGACGACGCGCGACGTGACGACGACGAACGACGACGGACGACGACGACGACGACGACGGACGACGCGACGACAACGGACAACGCACGACGGTGGACAGGACGAGGGAACGAGGACGAGTACGAGGACGAGGACAAGGACGACGACGACGCCGACGACGACGACGACGACCGAAACGACGACGACCGACGGCGACCGGCGGCGACCGACGGCGACGACCGACGACCGACGAGGACGACCGACGATAGACGATGACGACGACCGACGACGATGGATGACCGACGACACGGACGACCGACGACCGACGATCGACGACCGACGACCGACGACGACGGTCGACGTCGACGTCGACGACGACGACGACGACGACGACGACGACGACGACGACGACGACGACCCCTGGGCCCTGTCCTGGGGCGCTTCCTGGCCAGAATCTCGAGGCGTATCCAGCCGCGGGCGCCCCCGCCGAGGCCCAGAACGGATTTGCAGCTCCCCGAAGCTTCGATCCTCGAGCCTCGATCCTCGACCCCCATCCGAAGGTCTCTGGAATCGCCCCTGGAGGCCGCCTCCGGAGGCCCAGAAGAGGCCAGAATCGTCGACAGTGTTCGACCACCTCGACGTTTGATCGACGACGGTGGCGGCGACGTCCGCTCAGACGGCATATTTAGGCAAACCCGGGTCCGAGGGTAGTAGAGTCTGGAGTCCTACTCCCAGGAGGCCCCGGAAACCCATCGTGGAGCTACAGGCTATCTTAGGGCCCTCTCGGGGCAGGCAGGCGAGCAGGCATGCGCACGCGGGCGCGGACAGGCAACCTCCCCAATGCTTCCTGCCTCTCTCCCTCCCCTCCCTCCGTTCCCCTTGCCGTCCCGCTCCACCCCTCCCACTCCCTTCCATTACACCCCACTCTCGCGTCCGACTCCCCTCCTCGCCTCGCCTCCCCTGCCTTCCCTTGTCCCCCGTCCTGCCCTCCCGTTCCTTTCCTCCCCTCGCCTCTCCTCGCCACGCCTCGCGGGGGTGGTGGATGGAGGACGGGGGAGGCGGGGGAGAGGAAGAGGGAGAGGGAGAGAGGGAGGGAGGGAGGGATATGAGTGATAGAATAATGGAAACGGGAAGGAGATGTACGAACGGCAGCCAGCAAGAGCAAGAGGACCATGATGATGGTGATGCTGCTGATGATAATTTTGATGATGGTGATGACGATGATTACGATGATGGTGATGATGGTGCTGCTGATGCTGATGCTGATGCTGATGCTGCTGCTGCTGATGATGATGATGATGCTGATGATGAACAGGGGGAGTACATGTGAGCAAACGGTCAAACTCAGAGCCTGGAGCAACATTCACTTCTAATAAGCAGGAGGCCACAGCACTGGGCCACTGGGAACCACAACCTCAAGATTGCGAACCACAGCCTCATGATTCTTGCTTCTTAACGGTTCAATGTGTGTGTGGGGGGAGGCAGAGGGGTTCTTTCTTTCACGCCCCCCGATGTTCTCTGCTTTTACTTTGACGTCCTCCCGTCCGCACCCCTCGTCGACGGCAGCAGCCGCAGCGGCACAGACAATTACGATGGTAACACAGCACAGGCGTACACGGACCAGCGACCACCCTGCGGACGGCAAGAGTCAAGAGAGCTTCAAATGCGTGAAGGAAGCCCGCCGCAGTGCATCAGGAAACAGGGCATAGAAGACTCCCGACACCCAGCGGCTAGATTTCGGAAAGTGGGCCACCGGACCTCTCGACCGTTTCCCCAGGGTCGTCATCACCATCACCATGGCCATGACCATGATATACATCATCAACATCATCATCACCATCCGACTCATCAGTATTATCATGAACCTCACCATCACCATCATCATCATCATCATAATCATCATCATCATCATCATCATCATCATCATCATCATCCTCATCCTCATCCTCATCCTCATCCTCATCCTCATCCTCACCATCATCATCATCATCATCATCATCATCCTCACCATCAGCATCGTCCTCAACACCATCATCATGATTAGCCGGAGCGCCCCAGATCGGCGGCACTGGCCGGGGGCCAGCACAATAACAACATGTGTTGGACATCGGCTGCGATTCACAACGACCCACACGCACCATCCGACTCCAAAGTTGTTGTGCACATCTGCGAATGAAGGCACCCACAGCACCGCCATCATCGTATGCTGAAAAACTGTGAATATACATGCGGATCCTCACATCGAGCCCACCCTCACGATCCTATGCAAAAGCACTATTGCGGTGCACATCTGCGGATCTTGAGAAAGGCCCTGAACGCTCCAAAGGCTTCCAAGCGCTCCCACACGCGCCCAGATTTCCCGAGTGCTTCCAAGGGCTCCCCAGGGGCTCCTCCCAGGCGCTCCCAGGTCTCCCAGACGTTTCCTGGCGTTCCCAGACGCTCCCAGACACTATCGATCCCCAAGCTCTCGAAGGCTCGCGGTCGCTATCAGCAGGAGCAGCTGCATCCACATCCTCATCTTCACCGTCCTCGTCGCCGGAGGAGGCGTCAAGGAGCACATGAACGCAGATCGCGCCGACGCGTTCAAATTGTGGAGGAGGTCGACTTTATGGGAAGGGTTCAAAGCGGAAGGGATTGATCCGCGCAAACTACTGTGATCCTAAACCCCAACGCGCAAACGCTAACCCTGAAACCCTGGCCCCGAACAATATAACATGAATCCTGAACCCTAACCCTAAACCCAATCCTAAACTCGAGCCCTGAACCCTAACCCTAACCCGAACCCGAAACCCTAACGCTAGGGCCCTTACACCCTAACCCCACCATTATCCCTAGCACGACGCCTGATCCCTAAACCCGAACCCCAATCCTAAACCCTCATCCTAAACCTTACATTCCCAAGCACATCGTTGCGCATCTATCCAACCCACCGCGTGTCCCTGACGCCGTCAACGATAGACAGGGCCTCTCAGTGATGCTTCAGCAGGTAGCCAGAATGGGCCATCATGGCAGCATTGTGCTGCCCTCCCACAACTTGGGGAGTCGCGATCCAACAATGAACTCCCACTGACCCCCAACAAGTGAAACACCCTAAACCCGGGGACTCTTGCGCCTCAGAGGAGCAGGTCGTGCTCCGACGCGTAAAAACGTGCAAGGCGCGCTGGACGCCCTGGAACCACCTAGAAACCGCCTCTGGAATCGCTTAGGAGCAAAAGGAGCGCGCAGGAGCAGGCTCCCGCGTCGACGGCGTAAATTTGCCATATGGTACGGTCCAGGAAGGCCGGCGCCGCGTCCAGGGAGCCCGTGGAAGCGCCTGTAGCGCCTCGGACCGTCCGCGAGCGCCTGGGGGCGCATGGGAAGCGCTCGGGAAGCGCCTGGGAGCGGCTGGGAGCGCCCGGGAGCGCCCAGGATGCGCTTAGGAGCGCCTGGGATGCCCTTGGGAGCGCCTGGGAGCGCTCGGGAGCGCCTGGGAGCGCCCGAGAGCTCCCAGGAGCGCTGGGGAGCACTTGGGGCGCGCTTGGAAGCGCCCGGGAGCGCCTGGGAAGCGCCTGGGAGCGCTCGAAAAGGCCTGGGAGCGCCTGGGAGCTCCTGGGAGCGCTCGCGAGCGCCTGGGAGCGTCTGGAAGCACCTGGAAGCGCCTGGGAAGCGCCTGGGAGCGCGTGGGAGCGCCTGATTATGCTTGGCGCTGTCGCGCTTTTCCCATGCGCCGCCCCAAGCGTGGGAATGTGGGAGAGTTTCCCGAAACCCGAAAAGGCCTTAGTTTGGGTGGTCGCCGGACAAGCGGCCGGAGGTGGGAAGTGGTTGCAGCAATTGTATTTTCGCCAGGCTTGATCGGGTCGGCTAAGCGCCCCCCAAATCGAGCCTGCCAAAAGGGGGGGTATCCTTGCCCTGACGCTCGGCCGCGGCGCGCAGAGGAGCCCTAAACCCAAGACCCGAAGCCCGAAACACAACCCGAATCCGAGCCATGCACCCTACACCTAAATCCTACCCAAATCCAAACCCTGAACCCTAATCCGAGGCCTAGCCCTAACCCTAAACCATGACCCTAATCTTGGAATGCAGCCCAAACCTGCCCCTAGACCCTAACTGACCCCAAGCCCTGTATTCTAAGCTCTAACCCTTCCCCAAACTCTAACCCGAATCCTAAACCCTAACCCCAAATGTTCACTCTAAACCCGAACCAGAAGCAGAAACCTCGCGTCTTAACCTTAACCCCAACCTTAACCTCTCAGCCCTGAACCCTCAGACAGCCTCCGAGTTCACCAGACGACTTGTTCTGGACGAGTTCATCCGAAAACGATTTCATCCGAAAACGAATTCATCCAGACGAAGTCATCATTCGGGCACAATCATCCGGACGAATTCAAGCCGAAGTCGTCACGGATGAAATCATTTGCGATGAACTGGTCGCCGTGAAGCAGGGGGTCCAGCGCAGATCCAAGAAATCCGCGCGGAGCTCAAAAAAAACATGATTGTATAATTTTCTGTTCCTCGAATGTTCTGGATCGTCGACAACATCGCCTCTGACCACCAGATCCGCTCGGAGACGAGGTCTGGCTGGGACGACGTGCGCGAGACGTTGTCCTGCAAAGCATTCCCAGACCCCCGACGTCGTGATTTTTCACAACGACCCCCCAAGGTCTCGACCCCTTCCCAGGGACCAGCATTTCATCCTGTGTCGTTTTTCGACGGTACAGAGACCCGGCGAGGGCCCCCTGAGGCGGAAAATAACGAAAAACCTGCCGCCGTGATCCTGTCACAACGCGAGGGGGTCTGGGTTTGACATCCTGCGCCCCTGCTTCGCAGTGGACGAAGGAAGGGCCAGCGCATCGGCTCGCGTACAGCTGCTTTCTCCGGCGCTTCCCGGCGCAAAAGGCCAGGAGGCGCCAACGCCCCTCGAGGAACGGGGCCACGCGGCGGGGCGGACACCAGCCGCATGCAGCAAATGTCGCGACCCCCCGCTTCCCCCCCTGACCTTCCAGGAGGGCTAAAAAATAGCACGCGACTTAAAAACCTATCCCAGAGCTATTCTACGTTTTGGTTTTAGGCTGTTTCGTCTCGTTTTTTAGGTTTTTAGGTCTCCAGTGCTAAAAAATAGCTCTCTGGAAGGTCAGGGCCAGATCCCCCCCTTGCGTTTCAGCGCCCCTTTAACGGAGACTCCACTGACTGGCACTTTGGCCAGTGACCTGGCGAGCTCAACCCTCCCCGATGTGGGCAACGCCGCAATATGCCACAAAGAGGCTCTGAAGTGGCAATTTTCGGCAACTTTCCACAGGACCAGCTCGTGAGTACCCGTTACGGTGCCGCTGAGCGTTTGACCCGACTGCTCCGCCAGAGACCCCGCATCTCGAGGCGCTCCCTGGGGTGTGACGCCAGATCCTGGGGAACCCACAAGGTACCGATACCACTACTCCACCGCCCCGACCTCTCCCAGAGTGCGTTCTGACCAGAATCTCAAGGCGAATCCAGCGATGGCCACGAGGGCCTCCCAGTGGAGATCCAAAAAAAGGAAAACGAGGGAAGGATAGAGGTTTTTGAGAGGCCCCTTAGATGGGGTCCAAGTAGGTGGGGTTGAAGGATCGCGCCGCATCGCCAACGCATCGCTGATGAATCTGCGATGCATCGGCGATGCATCGGCGACGCTGGCGATGCATTGGCGACGTCGGCGTGGGGGAACACGGGCTCCACAACATGGAGCCGCATCGTCGATGCATCGCGATCCTCCGACCCCATCGACTCGGACCCAATCTAGGAGGCCCAGCATTTTCCTCCTCCGAGATCCCGAGGGCCCAAAGCCGACGAGCTCGGCCATGGCACAGAGGCACCCGTGCCTCGCCGCAGCCCCGCGTCTGCTCCGCGCGCCGGCGGGGAAGGCTCGCCCGGAGCCCGTGCAGGGCGCGGGCTCGCGGCAGCCTCGACCAGGCAGCGGGAGAGACCCAGACCTGCGACGTCCTGTTTTCCTGACTACCTACCCAGAGATCCAACGCATTGGAAAAATCGAGACGGAGGTTTTTCGCAAAATTCGGCCCCTGGGGCACCTGGCGCGCCGGGCCTCGGGGCTGCCAGAAAACGACTCAAGATGAAAGACCGCTCCTGGGGAATGGGTCGAGACTTCCGGGGAACCGCGCATTGAAAAAATCACGACATCGGATCTCGAGGTACCAGACCGCCCCAACCCAACCCGAAGACCCAAATTTCGGGTTGGGGGGGAGTACGGGTTCCATGTGGGTGTTTGTCCATGTTCCCCAACGCCCCCCCCCACTGGGGATGGAGGGCAAATTGGGGCCTTCGGTTTGGGTTGGCGCGGTTCGGTAAATCGTGATTCTCGGGGACGCACTGACCCGGGTCAGTGCAAACCTGGGTCAGTCAGGCTTCGCACGATCCTGCACACTCCTGCAGGATCCTGCAGGATCCTGCGCGCTAGCCCGGGTCAGTGCACCCCTGGCTCTGCAGGATCCTGCATGATCCAGCGATCTGGCTGACGCCCGTTTGCGTTGACCCCCATCTCAAGGCTCCCGAGATGTTTCAAATTCGCGGTCCCCGGTAGTCCCCAAGGCCGGTCTTTTCCTAAGTTGTTTTTGTTACGGTCCCGGAGCCGGCGATGGCCCCCAGAGGCCGCAAATACAGTCAACCATTATCATAAGGACGCACGATCAGGATGCAAAGGCCTTGGAAGGCCGTTTCGAGGCTTCTCGAGCGGGGCGCGGCCAACGAAAGTCGCCCAGGATGGACCGAGGAGGCAAGGATGCAAGGGTACCCTTGGGAAGGTTGCCCATCCTGCCTGTGCGGGTCGGCAGTCATTAGAAAAAGAAAAGAAACATGAACTTTGAGCTCTCCGCGAGGATTTCTTGGATCTGCGCTGGACCCCCCTACCTGGCGCGCGGAGCGCGCCAGGGGCGGCGCCGCAGGCGCCGCCCGGGGGGGGCCAGAGCGGATGCAAGAAATCCGCGCAGAGCGCCAAAAGTTTATGTCGATAGCGTTTCCTCTTCTTCGAGAAATGGAAAACCACCCGTCCTGACTGTTCCACGACGCGAACACGTCTGGGGAGGCTGTGCAGCCACCTCGGCGTGAGCCAAAGCGGCCACCCACGGAGGGCACAGGCGCCGACTTCGGGCCCGGGGCCCGCAGGGCCGGGATCGGCGGCGGTGTAGAAAGTTGGCCTCGCCCGAGGTCGAGGCCTCTGAGGGCCTGCCAGAGGAAAACGCGCTGAAGGGGAAGGCCCGTGGGAGGACACGACTTCTGGAGCCTGCCTTGAAGGGTCGGCGGTGGGACTTCGCCCGGAATGGTCTCCAGCAAGGCGCCGGGATCCACCGCGAGAGCTCTGCGGAGGTTAGCAGGGGGGAAGCGGGTCCTGAGGGAAACGGGTCGGGGCCTTCCTCCAGGACGAGATCATTATCCTGAGTCGAACTCTGATCCTCGGTGCCCGACGAGTGGGGGGCCACACGCGAACCCTACCCCAACCCCCCACGACTTCTGAGGGGGAGGGTGGGGTTCACTTCGCTCGGGACCTCCCGAGCGAAGTGAACCCCACCCTCCCCCCAGAAATCGTGGGGGGCAGGGGGCAGGGTTCGCGCGTGGCCCCCTAACGAGGGCCCCGAGGGCCCGAAACGGCGCCAAAAACCTCAGGACCCGCGGCGATTGTTTTGGCTTCTGGCTCAGACGTCGGGTACTCCGGCGGCCGTGTTCGGGGCGACCTGGGCACCCGCATCGAATCCTCGAGCCCGAGAGCCCACGGCGAAGGGACCCTCGGGGATGGACAGACCTCCCGTGTCGTGAACCCGAGCGGTCGGGCCCGAGGGCGGCGCCCGCAGCGAAGCTCCTCGCGGTGAGAACTCGGAGCGCCCGCTCCGCTCCTGCGGGGCCGACGCACACGGCCTCACGAGGGGCATCTTTCGGGGATGGACAGACCTCCATTTAGTAAAACGTGGTTTAGTGAAAACGACCTCGGGCCCAAACTTGGCGGGCGCAAGCCTGGAAACTAACGGCCGCGGCGCCCTCTCGAGAACCGAAAACGGACAATTCACTAATCGACGTGTCACTGCTGGGAGGTCTGTCCACCCCCGAGACCCCTTTTGGAGGTCTGGAAATGGGCACCAACACCAACACAGGGGGGTTGCCTCCACAGGGGGAAGATGATCCTAGATTTCGGTGTGGGTGGTAATAGTTCGGCCACCTTGGAAGCCAGACTAGTACCACCATCACCGAGATCGGGGTATTCATCCCTCTGTGGAGGCACACCGCCGAAATTGGTGTTGGTGTCAATCTCTAGGCCTGCGACCCTTGCGAGGAGTCCGACCGGAAGGGGTGTCGCGGCTGGGAGGGCTCGCCCCGTGGGGGGCCCGGGAAGCCCCGGGGCGGGGACTCGTCCAGAACGCGGGCCCTGGATCTCTCGACCCCCCCCCTGGAGGCCTGCTTTCAAAGGGAGGGCCAGAGGAAATATATATATGTATACATATATATATATACATATATACACATACATATATATAAATACATATATATATGTATATATATATATATATATATCCGTAACCAGTTTGGCTCAAGTTGCGCCTTCTGGTCAGGTCCAGGAGGTCTAGTGCTCGAGTCAATACGTAAGTCTACATCCAGATTTGCATCGCAAGCTTAGTCTTCGGCGGTTTCCAAGACTAGCCCGCCTTCTGATGTCAGGATGGGGACGCAATACGCGTGGCCAGGGCGCCGGGGGCGGCCATGGTGGCAGTGGCTCGCCTTCTACATCGAATGGAAGTGCGACCCCTACGGCAACTGGCACTATGTGGGCCCTCGCCCATCGCACAGCCAGATGCCGTATTCGAGTTCACGCACATGGACCTGCAAGCAGTGCAAGAGCACGAACCACAGCCCAAAAGCCTGCACGACATGTGGGCTCAAGCGGACCTACGGCGAAGTTGCGAAGTCGGCGTTGGCCCCCCCCCCCCCGGCCAAGGAGACGACTGCATCGAAGAAGAACCCCGTTCGTGCTCAACTGAACGCCCTCACGGAGACCCTCACGAAGATCCACGAGGCCAAGGACGTACCCCCCACGCCTCCCTCGCCTCCTCCTGTGCCTGCCGAGCGCGCGCCGCAGGCTCTCAGCAACGAGGCCCCGAACAAGGGCCACCTCCAGGCCCGCATCAAGCAGTTGGAGACGGCCCTGGCGGCCATCCCCGAGGACGACGCGGAGCTCGCCACCGAGCGCGCGTCGTTGGCGACCCAGCCCACCGACACCAAGCGGCAGCTGCTCGGCTCCAAGCCGATCGGTGCCCGGATCGATGGCGCACGCGCTGCTTTAGGACGTGCCCGCCAGCGCCAGGCGGAGGCCGAGCAGGCGGTGGCAGCTGCCTTGTAGCTCCAGCACACGGCCAGATGCGAGGTCACTGCACTCGAGACGGAGCTCCAGGAGCTGGAGGCTTCTCTCACGACGGAGGCTCCCATCGAGGCGACTGCGACGCCCGAGTCCCAGGCGTACACGATCCTGGGCCAAATGATCGACCAGCTCACGGCCGACGAGTACGTCCACCCAGGGCACGTCGAGGCTGCCAAGACGCACGTGCGGCAGTTGTTCGCCGGCTTTCGGGACACGCTCCAGCAGGCCGAGGCCACTCGTGCAGCTGCTGCCGGCACGCCGCTTGTCCCCAAGGAGGTGCGCCATACCACCAAGAGCCCCCCTGCGGCTCCGCTCCCCGCCAAGCCTGGCACGCTGGCGCGCCACAGTGGGAAGCAACCTCGCAAGGAGCTGATTACAGACTACTTCAGCAAGCGCAAGGTGATCAAGTCCATCGGCAAGGAGACAGCGGGGTTTCCTGCCACCTCCAAGGCCCCTCAGACTGCGTAGTCGCCGCCTTGCGCGCGGCCTTCTGCACTCCTGGCCCGCCTCGCCCCCCTGAGCGTTGGCCGGAGCGTGCAGGTAGCAATCGTACGTCTGCGACCTGGCCGTCTGCGAAGACTCCTTCGTCCCCGGCGGCACCCACACCACCAGCACCGACTCGTCCATCTACGATGGCTTGTTCGACATTCCGCGTTGCCACTGGTAACGCGCGTACGCTGCGCCCTCAAGAGGAAGCAGCTGCTGGCGCTCAGGTCAGCTGCGCCCTCCTGCTCGGCAAGGTCCAGATTCTGGAGCAGGCGTTCCACGATGAGCACCTCGATTTCGTCTTCATTCAGGAGGGTCGCGCACGCGCCGCCGAAGTGCGCCGAGGCCTCCCTTACACCATGTATGTCGGCGCGTCGGACAGCCTGGGCGGGCACGGCTGCCAGGTGTGGGTCCGCACAGGCGCCCAATTCCGTGCCTCCTCCTACGCGGCGCCATCCAGTCACCTCTACTGGGTAACGGGCCGGGATGTGCAGGGCATCCCATTTATTCTCGTCAGCGCCCATGCGCCGAGTGACCACGCCCCCGCTGCCGAGCGGGAGGCCTTCTGGGATCTCCTGCTCCAGACGCTGACGCTTCGTGGCCGCACCCCGTCTGCTAAGATGTTCCTCGGCATCGATGCGAACGGCAGGGTGGGCGCCGAGCACTCCGGGACAATCGGCGCCTGCGATTCGGAAGCATTTACGGCCAACGGCTCCGACCTGCTCTCGGTGCTCGTCCGCCTCCGCCTCGCCGCCATCAACACCTTCTATGATGTGGGCTATACGCGCGCCGCGTCCCGCATTGACTACATCTGCGGGCCGTTGGACGAGCTGTCCCACGCGTCTCTTACGTCCCGCGTAACGTGCAGCTTTCGCTCACAGCTAAAGAAGACCATCATCTCGTCGTGGCTGCGACCAGCACGTTTGCGCTCCTCGCGCGCGCGCCCAAGCCCGACGCTTTCCGGTTCAACAAATAGCGGCTTGGCGATCCAGCCAGGGTCCAAGCGTTTCAGACCATGCTGCACCGGTTGCAGGTCCCCGTCGGCGCATCCATCGACGAGAAGACCCAGGCGATGATGTCGCAGGTGCGCACCGCCGCCCGCCATGCTTTCGGCAGGCCTGAGGACCGCCCTCGCCAGCCGTGGATCTCCGACGACACGTGGTCGATACTGCGCCTGCTGGCGCCCTCGCGCAGAGTCGTTCATGCCGCTGGCCGGGAGGCGCATCGAGCATACTTTCACAGGATCTTCCTCGGCTGGGCTGCGCAGCGCACGGGTGTCTTCCACGTGACCTCATCTTCGCAAACACGCTTGGGCTGGGCAGCGCGCTGCGCGCTTCGGCCGCTTCGACACGTCGAGTTCCATTGGCGCCTGTTGAATGCTATGGCCTGGAGGCTTTGCCAACGGCTCGCCTACCTAGTTAAGCACTTTGTGCACTTTGACCGGCACCTCTTCCTCGAGGACAAGGCCCGCGAGGCCCAGTGCGCCGCCGCGCGGGGTGACTGGAGAGGGACTTTCGGCGTGGTGCGATCGCTCAGCGGCCGGGCTGCTAGCTTGGCGGACCACCCCGTGCTCCTCAAGTCAGGCGCGTTGTCCAGCTCCGAGGCGGAGCGGCAGGCCCGGTGGCAGGAGCATCTCCGGGAAGTCTTCAACGGCACCGAGGTCCCTATGGACCAGCTGCGCGCGCAGCCTGTGGAGGCACCGCTCATTTCTCCCACCGTCGAGGTCACGCCAGACGCTGTTGCCGCATCGCCCAGGCAGCTGGGGCGGAACAAGGGCGTCGGACGCGATGGCGTGCCGGCGGGACTGCTAGTGGCTGGGGGGAAAGCCTTGGCGACGCCGTTGGCCGCCCTCTACCAGGAGATCGTCGATACAGAGCGGTGGCCCGTCCATTGGGCAGGTGGCCGTATGCAGAACGTTCACAAGCGCAAGGGCCCCTTCACCGACTGCGACGAGTCTCGCGGCATCGTGCTGGAGGATCACGCCGCCAAAGGCCTCAAGCAGCTGCTCAGCCACATGGTCACTGGCCCTTACCAGGACAATATCCCCGAGGTGCAGCACGGCGCTGTCGCCGGCAGGGGGACTGATTATGCCGCTCACCTCGTGCACAGCTTCCAAGCGTACTGCAATGCGGCTGGACGGTCGTCGTTTGCATGGTTCGTTGACCTCGTGAAGGCGTTCGACCGCATCGTGAGGGAGGTGGTGCTTGGATGGCCCTGCGGTGCAACTGACCCTGAGGCTTACCTCGCATCCCTGGGCCTCAACCCAGACCAATCCGCATGGATCGCGCAGTGGGTGGCACGGCATAGCTGCCTCTTTGCCCAGTGGGGCGTTAGCCCAAAAGTCATCCGCCTGCTCAAAAACCTCCACGCGGCCTCATGGTTTTCTTACGGTGACGTTGACACCGCTATCGTCGCACGCGTTGGCGGCCGCCAGGGGTGCAAGTACGGCGCCATGGTTTTCAACGGCACGTTCTCGTTGGCAGTGGTGCTGATCCGGGACGCTCTCCTGGACGCCGGCATCTTGCTCCGCTTGCGCGCCCTGTGCTCGATGCCTGCGTAGTTATGCGGCGGGGGGCCCTGCTGCTGGCGTCTTGAACGCGACGGGGTGCGTGGGCGGCCTTGGCGGCGTCCACGACTTGCAGAGCGATGCCGCCACCTGTGCCCACACCAGCAGCGCCAGAATTGAGATGGATTGAGACGATTGCACCTCTCGCATTTCCAGTCCTTCGATAGACATGCGATGAGGCCGAGGCTTGCCAATCTGTTCTGGAGCGGGGCATTCCGCTTGGGCCGAGAACAAGGAAATGTGGTAGGAAGGAGCTGAACAGATGCCGAAATTCGGGCCAATCTAAGGGCGAGGCCGTGGTGCCTACCTACCCTCATGGCCTTAGCACACTGTCAAGCCACCTCGACAATGGCCACGGACTTGCGCCAAAATGGCGACGGACCCTCCTTTTTCCTTCTCCTCCTCCTCTGTTTTTCGCATCTTCCCCCTCCTCCTCTTCTTGCTCCCCCAGGCGTTCCCCGAAATATTTCCAAACCGACTCGGGGAACAACTGGCCCGATAGCTTGGCCAAGCTCTGGCCCGGCTGTCGGCCACTGAGGCGCCTCCAAAGGGGCAGGGGGCGGCGGCGAATCGCCGCAGGCGTCTTCGATAATGCACAGGGGGAAGGAAGAGGAAACAGCGAACGGCCAGAATGCGCGCCCCGCGCAGCCGAGGACGGGGCCAGGGGAGGGAGACGAGACAGCTGGGCTGGCGCCGCGGCTGCACGCGCCGCAGGCAGCTGGTAAACGGTTGACTGCAGAAAGCCCCGCCCTCGAGCGCGCGACCCCGAGCGCGCCTGGCGCGCGCGCGGGGCTCTCGCCGCCCGCGGGAGCACTCGCGTCGTCGAGGGTGGGAAGGTGGAGATGGGGAGCAACGCTTGGGAGCGCGCGCGTGACATGCGCTGAATGGCATCGCGAGAGAATGGCAAAGCGACTGGCAGGCAAAGAAAGCCCCATGAAGTTGCAGGCACAAAGTAAAAAAAATGAGGGGATGGGGGGAAAGTTACGCGCGAAAGGAGCATCGCGGGCGTATATCATTATTGGAAGACCCGCAGAAACACAGAGCGCGGCGCTGTCGGGCATAGAAAGTTAGGTGCTCGTTTTCCGTCGGCGGAGAATTCGGGTATAAGCAGCTAGAGACATGTGTTCCGTCAGCGGGGCTGTCGAGCATAAGCAACTACATGCTTGCTGTCCGTCAACGGACAGGCGGGTATAGACAGACGCTCGTGTCCCGCCAACCGGAGCTGACGGGTATAACCAGCTAGATGCCTGTTTTCCGTCAACGGCGCGGTCGAATATAAACACCTAGGTGCTTGCTTTCCGTCAGCGGAGCGGTCGGCTTTAATGCGCCAGCCAGCCCAGTTGGACAGCTCCCGCACACCTGACCCCGCGCAGCCTGCCATGCCGCTAGAGCCCCAGGCCGTGGGGCCCCATGCAGATTACAGTGAGGCCTCGCCGTCCCTGGGGGGCTGCGATCTGCAAAGTGATCGCAACTTTCGTGGGCCCCTGGGGCCCTGGGGGGCCCAGCGGAGTGGTGACCCACGCAGATCACCATGAGGCCCCGCCGCCGCTGGCGGGCTGCGATCTGCGAAGCTATCGCCACTTCCGTAGGTCCCTGGGAGGCCCTGCGGAGTGGTGCCCCACGCAGATCACCTTGGGGCCTCGCCGTCCTTGGGGGGCTGCGATCCGCGAAGCCATCGCCACTTTCTTGCAAGGCGTTTCCGATGGTGTGCAAGGCGTATCCGATGGTGCGCGGCGTCATTGCAATTCTCGCAACGACAGCACGATTCGGGGCGAACCGCCTTCCTGCGCGCCAATGCGCATGCGCGCCAGCGAAGGGTCAGCCGAATACTTCAGCGCCCGAGCTACGAGCTCAGGCCATCCGAACAACCCCGCGCGTCGCGCAGCGACTGATCTCCGTCGCGATGCACATCCCGTCCGCCTGGTGACGGTGGGTAATGCCTGTCCGCCCCGCACTGCCGCGATGGCCCTGCGGACGCCGCATCCTGCCTGGGCAGTGCAAGACCGCTCTCTGGTCTGGCTTGGCAGCCCCAGGAGCAGCACGCCTGCGACTCGGGCGCTCCTCGGCCACGGCGACGGCGTCGCACGAGGCATCCAGAAGACAGTCGGCCCAGGGAACCCGTCCGACATGGCACCAGTGCTGGCTGCGCGGTCCCGCATATTCTGGGCGGCCAGGTGTACTTAGCCGCATCGGGCCAGTCGCGCGCCTACGCAGCGCTCGCGACCGAATTGTCCACGGCGACGGCTAGCGCACCTCGCCCGCGTCGTCCGACATGGACAACGTCGTGCTTGCGCACGGTGTCGGAAATAAAGAATGCAACGTGCAAGCATGGATTGAGCAGGGACTGACAGTCCCGGCATTCCTATAGTCCTACCACGAAATGCTCTTAGAAACCAAACATGTTCTAATAACAAAAGCAATGTTCTTAGAACGTAAACCTCATGCGTTCAAACAAGACAATCCCAGCAAGAAATGTTCTAAGAACATTTCGTGGAAACCACAACCGGTTATTAGAACATTGTTTGGTATGGCTATAGGCACGCCCGGACGCTTCGCCACTGCTCGAATGGAGACAGTCATGTTTCTCACGGTCTCGCTGATTGAATCCGACGTGCTGCTCACGGACGCGGTGCAGGTGTCCGTCGTGTAGCGCTGCTGGAGTCCGTTTTGCTGCTCACGGTCATGCCGCTGGAGTCTGTCGTGATGCTCACGTACCCGCTGGTCACGGTCATACTGTTCCAGGTCGTGCTGCTGGAACCCATCGTGCCGCAAACGACGGACTCCGGCAACACGACCGTGAACAGCAGAACCCCGAACACATGGGAGGCCTGGAAAAGGACGACGAAAACGACGACGACGACGACAACGACGACGACGACGACGACGACGACGACGACGCCGGCGGCGGCGGCGGCGACGGCAGCGACGGCGGCGGCGGCGGCGACGACGACGTCAGCTACACGCAAGAGTGGCTCCGGCAAGAGCACCGCGCTCAGCGATCGGGGGATCCCAGAATGCCCGCACCCACAGAGGAACAAACAACTGCATAAGCACGACCTCCTCATCCTCCACCTGTTCCTCCTCCTCCTCTGCCTCCTCCTCCTCCTCCTCCTCCTCGTCCTCCTCCTCACAGACAATGGCATAAACATAAACTTTTAGGGGGTCCGCGCGGATTTCTTGGATCGGCGCTGGGTGTGCCGCCAGAAGGGCCCCAGCGCCGATTCAGGAAATCCGCGCGAAGCTCCGAAAGTTTGTGTTTGTGCGTTTGTTGGTCCTTCGAAGCGAAGCGCCCGACTGGCCGATTTAGCCCCCCTTGATAGGGGATATGGGCTGTTCACTTCAGGACTCGAGGGGCATGTCCTCCACTGGGGGGGTGGTGGGGATCGGGATTGGCATGGGCCGGGATGGGAACGGGTTTAACAATGCAGCCATCGTGCTACCACCAGAAGCGCAGCAGAAGGAACGAAAGCGCTCTTCTGGTCTCGGCGGGCCTGGGCCACAAACAGGCTCCCCGACAGAAATCTGAGGAACGGCCCGAAAACCCGAGCCCCTCCTGAGCCCAAAGCGGTCATGACTTCAGCGCCTTGACGATACCCGCCCGTCGGCGGAAGTAGGTGGAAAGATGAAGTAGGAAGGCGGAGAAAGTAGATTGGGTTGGGGCCCGCCCAAGGAGCGACAAAAGCAACAGAAACGGACAGATCCTCGAAGTGGGAAGGCGCCTGAAGTAGATTCGGGCCTGGATCTCCCAGAACGTGTTACACGTTCTGGGATACTGCTCTCGCCACCGCAATGCATCGTCGAAAGCACATTGTGCTTCCGACGACTGTTTGCGGTGGCGAGCCCTGGGGGAAGCGAGGCGGGGCGGGCCTTCTCGGAAGGCTCGGACGTCCCCCGGCCTTCTGAGCAGCTCTCCCCTGACCTTCCAGAGAGCTATTTTTTAGCACTGGGGACCTAAAAACCTAAAACAACGAGACGAAACAGCCTAAAACCAAGACGTAGAATAGCTCTGGGATAGGTTTTTAAGTCGCGTGCTATTTTTTAGCCCTCCTGGAAGGTCAGGGTCTCCGCCCTCCCCGAAAGCATAGAAAGCCCCCCGGGAGGCCGGAGGCCTCCGAGAAGCCCCGTCGCCTCCCCCTTCTCGCGCCCCCCCACCTTGGGATGGCCCACCCCCCACGAAGCCCCACCTTTGAAGGGGCCCTGGGACACACCAAAAAATACACACGAACAAAAATACCCCCATATCTGCCTACATTTTCGGGGCTTTTGCCTTCCCCCCCACTTCCCATATCTTCCCATATTTTCTGGGGAATCGATGATTCATTGTGTCTGTGTGCTTCTTTCCCTCCTGAACCTTGGGGATGACCCACCCCCCACTCGGGGATGGACAGACCCCCCTTTAGCAAAACGTGGTTTAGTGAAAACGACCTGAGGCCCAAACCGGGCGGGCGCAAGCCTGGAAAATAGCGGCCACGGTGCACTCTCGAGAACCGAAAACGGACGATTCACTAATCGACGTGTCACTGTTGGGGGTTCTGTCCACCCCCGACCCACGGAGCCCCACACAGAGCACCCGTGGAGAGGCGGCGGCTCTGGCCCGCCGGCGGAGGCCCCTCGCTGCGCCGGGCCGCGAGCCGCAGGAGGCACGCCCCGCCCGCGGGCGCCTCGCTGCTCTGCCGCCGCGCTCGGGGGCTGCTCGGTGGCCCGGGGAAGCGACCAAGGCAGGACGCGGATCGAGATCCGGTGAGGAGGAATCTTGGGCGTCGTCGCGATAACTGGGGGGGGGAGAGAGAGAGAGAGAGAGAGAGAGAGAGAGCTTGTTCGGGGACGTACCGAACCGGGCCAACGCAAACCCGGATCGATCAGGCCTTGCAGGCTCCTGCACCCGAGCCCGGGTCAGTGCAACCCTGTCTCTGCAGGGTCCTGCAAGCTCCGGCGCTCTGACTGACCCCCGTTCGCATTGATCCCCGAGTGGTTGGCGTGTACACGTCGTTCAGTTCTAATCGTGCTCATTCCTACCTGTGCTCGTTTCTAATTGTTCATGGCCCCCTAGTGGCCAGGAAGCGGCCCAGGATAGAACAGTCAGACATGAAAGACTACTGCCCCCCAAAAACAATCACAGAACTTTCGAATAATTGGAAACGAACACTGTCGCTTGCACTGATCCCCGAGCGGTTGGCGTGTACTGACCTCCGGCGACGAGCCACTCGTGCGTGCAGCCGAACGGCGGCAGGGCTCGCTCCCGAAGCGGCGCGCGCGGCGGGCTCCGGTCGTCGCAGAGCGCCCCGGGGGAGGCCCGCCCGGGCGGCGGGCGCTCTCCGCGCCAGGGACGGGCGGCGGGCGCGGCGCGGCCCCGCCGGTCTTCGGCGGGCCACGGGGGGGACGTCTCCTCCTCGCTCCTCCTCCTCGCTCCTCCTCGCTCCTCCTCCTCGCTACTCCTCGCTCCTCCTCGCTCCTCCTCCTCCTCCTCCTCCTCCTCCTCCTCCTCCTCCTCCTCCTCCTCCTCCTCCTCCTCCTTTTTCCTCCTCCTTTCCTCCTCCTTTCCTCCTCCTCCTCCTCCTCCTCCTCCTCCTCCTCCTCCTCCTCCTCCTCCTATTCCTGCTCATCCTCCTCCTCCCCTTCCTGCTCCTCCTTCTTCCCCTCCTCCACCCTCCTGGGCGACGAAACGAGACGGGCCATGCGCAAGAAGACGCAGCGACCTTACATCGCGGCTTGGCACGCGGGCAACTTGCGCGCCAGCATCCGCGAAGATGACCACGGCCTTCTGCGCCGGGGCCCAACGCCGATCCAACAGCTCCGCGAGGACCTCCGCGAAAGTGCACGTATGCTTATGCAGTTTGTCATCCTGCCATCGCTCGGACGTCCACGCCCCGTACATTGCTCGGCTTCGTGTGTGTCTGGTTTGCTCGGCGATCCAGGAGGCTCCTCGATGGTTCGCGCCGAGAAGACAATGCGCGCGTCCGAGCGGTGCCGAATCCTTACAGTGGGGGCTGGTCCACAAGGAACCATTCACAAGAAACCCAAACCTGAGACCCCAGGAAGCCCCTTCATTTTTCCCAACCATCCTGTAGTGGTGGGTCCTCGTGTTGAAGAGACGGTCCCCGCGTTTCCTCTCCTCCTCCTCCTCCTCCTCCTCCGCCTCCTCCTCCTCTTCTCCACCTCCTCCACCTCCTCCTACTCCTCCTCCTCCTCCTTTTCCTCCTCCTCCTCCTCCTCTTCCTCCTCCTCCTCCTCCTCTCCTCGCCTCCCGTCAACCCCTTCACTTCGGCTCGGCACACCCCTCACACGCTTCGTGGCCCCACCGAGAGCTCCACCGAAGGCCCCAGTACCACCGCCCGCATGCGTCACGCACACCCATTTCGGCACACCACTCACACGATTCGTGGCCCCACGCGCACATATTTCGGCACACCCCTCACACGTTTCGTGGCCCCATAGGGAGCTCCACCGAAGGCCCCAATGCCGCCGCCCGCATGCGTCACGCACATATACACACACACAGTTCGGTACACCCCTCACACGTTTCGCGGCCCCAGCGAGAGCTCAACCGAAGGCCCCAGTGCCAACGCCCGCATGCGTCACGCACACACATTTCGGCACACCCCGCACACGTTTCGTGGCCCCATGGGGAGCTCCACCGTAAACCCCAGTGCCACCGCCCGCATGCGTCAAGCACACCCATGTTGGCACACCCCTCACAAGTTTCGCGGCCCCATAGGGAGCTCCACCGAAGGCCCCAAGGGCACCGCCCGCATGCGTCACGCACACACATGTCGGCACACCTCTCACACGTTTCGTGGCCCCCATGGGGAGCTCCACCGAAGGCCCCAGTGCCACCGCCCGCATGCGTCACCCACGCCCATTTCGGCACACCCCTCACCCGTTTCGTGGCCCCACAGGAAGCTCCACCAAAGGCGCCAGTGGCTGCGTTCGCATGCGCCCACCGCACCCATGTCAGCACACGCATCACACGTTTCGCGGCACCATAGGGAGCTCCACCGACGGCCACAATGGCTGCGTTCGCATGCACCCACCGCACCTATTTCGGCACACCTCTCACGCGCTTCGTGGCCCCATGCGGAATTCCACCGACGGCCCCAATGGCTGCTTTCACATGCGCCCGCCGGACAAATTTTGGCACATCACTCACACGCTTCGTGACCCTACACGGAGCTCATCCGAATGCGGTGCATACAACGACGGCACCCACAACTGCAGAAGGTTGGGTCCTTCGCCAGCCTACTTGGCGTGGGAGCGTAACGCTTTCCATCGCAAAACAGTCGAAACCCAAGAAACCCAGGGGACCCTGGAGGCAAGCAGGGTGTTTCTTGGCATGGCTCTCCACTGCCTTCGGCTGCAGCGGAGACGTAGCCACGGGGGTGTGGGTCCAGAGCGTGGGCACCCTTCGCCGAAGGCCCGAGGCCCCACGGAGGTGCCCAACACGAGGCAAGCTCCGAGAGTGGAGAGCCCGAGCAAGGAGAGCAGAAACACAGCCCGTCCAGACGTGGCTGCCCCGACGCGCAGCACGCGGCTCGCAGCGTGCTGACACGGAGTGCGGCACCCAGGCCGGGGACGCAGGTCTGGCGCGATGCGTTCTCCAAAACGCGGGCCAACACGTTGAGCCAACGCGAAGCGTCTTAACACGAACGTGCTGAACAAGGCACGTTGCGCTAGGGCTGTCTGCAACCTTCGTGCCAGCTAAGTAAGCCCCCACGCTGCCGATGCAGGGAGGGTCTATAGGCCGGGGCACAGGATGGCCCTGCCCAGGCATGGCCGAGGTGTATTCTTGGCCAGGCATGGTCGAGCTGTATGGGTGCCTTAGGCGGGAGAACTCCGAGTGAGGTATATAGAAGTGAGGCCGAGCTCACGGGCGGATGATGATGTGGCTATTGGGACGCGCAGACAAGCACCGCCTCATCACTATCATCTTCGACGACATCGTCATCATTACCAAAATTATCATCGACCACAGCAACCACACGATCATAACCACCATCACCATCAACGTCGACAGCATCGTTATAATGATCGTTAGCCTCACATCGTCATCATCATCCACGTTACCATCATCATCGCCATCATCATCGTCATCGTCATCGCCATCGTCATCATCGTCGGTACCATCATCATCATGAGTATCGTCGTCGTCAACATCATCATCAGCAACACCATCGCCTGCATCATCAGCAGCATCAGCAGCATCATCAGAATGGTCGTCGTCATCAACATCGCCATCGCCATCAACATCGTCAATATCAGAAAACACATACTCATCATTCCCATCCTCATCAACACCGGCATCAGACGCAACATGACAGCCGACATGACCATTATCGTCGTATCCTATCGCAGATACCATGATCAACATCATCATGGCAGCATCATCATCATCAGCAGCATGATCATCACCATCATCAACATCGTCGTCATCATCATCCACGTCACCATCATCATCAGCATCGCCATCATCATCGTCATCGCCATCGGCACCGTCATCATCGCCGGTAATATCATCATGAGTATCTTGGTCGTCGTCAGTACCCTTATCATCATCAGGAAAACCCGCATCGTCATCATCATCAGCGTCAGCATCATCATCATCATCAGCAGCATCATCATCATAATCGTCATCGTCATCAGCATCGTCATCGTCATCAGAATTGTCAATTGCAGACACTGCGTTCTCATAATTCCCATCATCATCAACACCAGCCTGAGCCGCAACATGATCGTCATCATCACCATCGTGCAACAATCATGAATATCGTCGCCGTCAACATCATCATCAGCAACACCATGATCGGCATCATCACCAATCAGCACCATCATCAGCATCATCAGCATCATCATCATAATCGCCATCGACGTCAGCATCATCATCGTCATCCAACATCGTCAATAACAGAAACTACATATTCATAATGCCTATCATGATCAGCAACACTTGCAAATGCTGCAACATGATAACCGACATCACCGTCATCGTCGTATCAGATCGGGAATATCAGGATAGTCATCATCATCATCCGCATCAGCAGCAGCATCATCCTCATCCTCATCATCATCATCATCATCATCATCATCATCATCATCCTGATTAGCATCGTCATCATCATCAGCATCATCATCGTTGATTTCATCATTAACATCGTCACAATCGTAATCATTGCCATCATCATCATCATAATCAGCAGCAACATCATTGTCATCATCACAATCGTCATTAGCATCATCATCCAAATCATCAGCCTAATCAGCAGCATCATCATAATCAGCATCATCATCATAATCACTATCGCAATCGTCGTCGTCATTGCCAGCATCATTATCATCATCATCATCATCATCATCATCATCATCATCATCATCATCGTCATCATCCTCATAATCATCAGCAACAGCATCATCACAATCGCATTCCTCATCACCCCTAATTGCTGCTCCTCGCTCGCCTGCTCCTGCCGCTACTGCTGCTGTTTCTGATCATTCGCTGATTCCGCCTGCTCCGCCTGCTCCTCCTCATCCCCATGCTCCTCCCTCTGGCCCTCGACGAAGCACTATCAATGTCTTCGGCCACTGTCGGCGTCAGAGGGCTTTGACCCCTCCTCCTGCTCCTCCTCCTCCTCCTCCTCCTCCTCCTCCAGCCTCCCCCTCCCCCCCATCTCCCCCTCCTCCTCTCCCCTTCCTGCACAGCTCAATACGTAACATACTTGGCCGGATCGACGCCGGCCCAGCGAGCGCGAGGGAGCGCCGCGCCAAAAGTCACTAGTAGCTCGGCCCTATCGTATCGTACTCCGCGCCATCCAGCCGACATCGCGCGACGCATGGCCAGCCATTGAGGTCACGAATCCTGCGGCTCTTCGGCGCTCAAGCCGCTGGAGCACGCCCCTCGCAGAGCAACGAAACTTCTACGTATCCACTGCTCCCTGGCGAGGCCCAACCTCTGGACCCACCAGCGGTGTATACGCCACGCCTCCCTGGCTTGGCCAGGAGGCCACATACCCTGCTCCTGGGCCCAGGAAGGGTCTGGCCATGGGGCAGTGGATATGTATTTTCGTCGCCCGACCTCGTTCACAGTCTTCTCCGTGATCTGACTCACCTGGGAGAACGCCCGCTATACGCCTGCACCGACCCTCGCGAGGCCCATCGTGAGCCCCCAGGATCGCTGCAGGTGTGTAGGTGGCGCTCCCCGATCACCATATCCAGGACCAGCCCTCTGTAGGAGCTTGCCGCCGGAGATCCCTGCCCATATCCTCCAGAGAGCCACTCGCTCACCTCCGAGGCCTGGGACTCCTGCGTCCTCAATCTTTGCAATCCGCGTGGGGACACGGGCTCCTCCCGGCCGCCCGCATGAGTGAGCCTGGGCAAGAGTAGTTCTTGGTGCGCGGCGTTCAGCTTTGAAGCGGGGGAGGGGTCGCGGGTGGGGGGGGAGGCAAACATAAGCTCGCAAGCCGCAGCTGTCGCATCGCATTCAGCGATCGGGACACCCCAGTGGGCCCGCACCAAAGGCCACTCCTGCGAAGGACCACTCTTATCGGAGGAAGAGAACAAACTGCACAGGTCCGCGCGGATTTTCCTGGATCGGTTCTGGAGCCCCCTCCCGTGCGCGCGGAAAGCGCCAGGGGGGGCACTGCCGATCATAGCAATCCGCGAAGACCTCCGAATATGCTTACGCCAATGCTTCTTGATATTGCCACGATCATTCACGAGGCCCGTCGTCTGAATCTCAATCGCCAATATCATGTGTATTCGTATGTGGTTCGTCGTCTTATTGTTATTGACCCTCGTATAGCAAATCGTTTCGTCATGATGTTTAGTTTGATCGTAAGACTGTTGGGTGTGTTATTGTGTTATATGTATGTATATATATACATATATATATATATATATATATATATGCATGCGCAGTCGCCTTACGACCCTTTGTTGTATTACCGAAATAAGGGGACAACGAGGTATTACATGGCAGCCATCTTGAAGGATTGGGGTCTGCACAATAATGGGTGGCGAATTATGTTTGTCCACGGTACCCGCCGCGCAACAACGACGAAGACACCTACGACTACGATTGCGACAACGATGACGATTACGACGACTACTACGACGTATGCCTCAGGAGGGTTTTCACGGAGATTCACATCCTGCCCACGGGCGCCGACGACGAAGTTGTAGATGCATATCGTAATTGCAATGACCTGCCTTGACATATCCCTGAGAAAGAAAAACGACTGTGATAACAGGCTTCGGCGACGAATGCGCCGATCTAGATTGCAATCCTCTTACGAGCGCGCTCAAACATCAGCTGTCGCGCAGGGTGGCCCAACGAGCAGTAGCCGCCGAGAGTACGAAACCCCAACATTCACCGCGGCAGGTCTTTAGGACCCTCCACCCAAAATTGGAAACGATTTACTTGTTTGATGCCCTCATTGACGGACTGGGGCCCGACCGATACTTGAATATGAATATTCACCCGCGGCACAAGCCGCGCATCAACGACGACGACGAGATCAAAGAGGAGATTGTGAGCAACGCCTTCGGCGAATCATGTGTCGATCTGTATTGCAGTCATCTTACAAACGTGCTCACAAGTCCTTGTTCGCGCACGGTAGCCCAGGGAGAAGTACTCCCTGGGATATTAAGCCCGACATAATCCAGCCCGCCCAGCAGTAGAGGGGAACAAATCTCCGCCGCGACGACGACGACGCTTACGACTACGACTACGGTTGCGACTACAAGCCGCGTCGCAATTGACATGACGCCGCGCTGGGCGGCCAGGCCCTGCAGACTGGATGGGGCGCGCGTGGCGACCCGCCTCCCCGCCAAAGTTGACAAGCGCGGTGGGCTGGCGGGGGGGGATGCGCGAAGCGTCCCGAATTCCTCTTCTACGTTTGAGTCCCAGGAGTGGTGTTCTGACACGATGCACGATCGCCAAATCACAACAGTGACTGCGATTCGTGGCGCTGGCACCCCAGGACGGCGTCGTCCATCGGGGGGGTCTTCCCCCAGTGGAGATGGCCCTTTGTAGGGACCAACGAAAAGGAAAGCCTCGAGGGAAGGTGTATTGCAATATCGTTGATACGTCTTGGGTTTGCACTGGTCCTCCGCCTCCTCCCCCTCCCCCCCCCCCCCTCCTCCTGCCCTTGCCGCCCAAGTCGACAGGCGCACCTCCCGCCCCCCCCGCCCCCTTGCCAAAAAAACGTCGAGGGCGCGTGGACCGCCAGCGTCTGCCCCAGCTCAGGTTCTGCGTCAACTTCGGAGAAGGCTGGGGGGGGGCAAGCCCACCTGTAAGCCCCCCTACCAGACAGCCAGAGGACCAGCGGGCGTTTCCTTACCAGACAGCAGACGCGCCATTCCCTACCAGACAATCGCATGCATCTCTTTACCAGGCAGTCGCGGCACATCAAGCGGACATTGCAGACAGCAGGCAGGCGTTTCCTTACCAGAAAGCCGGCTCGCGATTCCCTACCAGACAGCCGCGGGCATTTCCTTGCCAGACAGCTTTACCAGACAGCCGGCGCGCATTCCTTCACCAGACAACGTCCGCGACGATTTCGAAGAGGAGTCAGAGGAGGAGGGGGAGGTGTAGGGAACAAGGAGGAGGAGGAGGAGGAGGAGGAGAAGGGGGAGGGGGGGGAGGAGGGGGAGGAGGAAGACGACGAGGAGGAAGGAGGAGGGAGGAGGAAGAGAGGGAGCAGGAGGATGAGTAGGATGATGATGACGTCGGCGACGATGACGTTGGCGACGACGCGGATGATGATGACGCGGACGATGATGACGCTGATGATGAACGTCATGACTACGGCGATGATGTTGTCGGTGGTCAGGCGTGCGGCGGTAATGCTGGCGATGATGATGACGATTCTGATGTTATCGGTGATGATGCGGGTGCTGATGATGCTGCTGATGTTCACGCTCGTCATGATACCGATGATGATTCTGACAAGGAGGAGGAAGACGACGACGACGATACATATGACGAGGGGGACGAGAAGGGAGGAGGAAGAGCCAGGATGAGGAAAGGAGGAGGTGGAAGGATAATGAGGATACATGGGGTGAGGATGCAATCTGCTTTGACGTGACTACGATTCGAAGGAGCGCCCATGATGTATTGGTGCACGGACTGTACCTGCATGGAAGGGGGATGGATGGAAGGAAAGATGGAGGCATGGAGGGAGGCTGGCGGAAGAGCCTGGATGGAGGCGGCCTGGATGGAGGGAGGGGAGGGCTAGAGAACAGGGGTGCTCGATGGAGTGAGGATGCCTAAAGGCTGATTGGCAGGAGGCTGGATGGAATGAGGTAGGCAGGAGGAAGTCTGGATGGATGCACGCTGGATGGAAGGAGGGGTGGGGGTGGGCAGAGGAAGGCTTGATGGAGGATGGATGGATGGATGGACTCTGGTTGGAGTGAGGCTGGATGGAAGAAGGGTGGCGGATAGGAGGACGGATAAAGGGGTAGATGGCTGGACGGGTGGAGGGCGGCTGGAGGGACACTGCATGGGGGACGCTGGATGGCTGGATGGAGGGTGGATGGATGAAGGCTGGAGGAGGATGGAAGGAGGCTGCATGGCATGAGGGTGGGTGGATGCTGGAGGAGGAGGAGGAGGATAAGCAGGGGGGAGCGGAGGGGGATTGGGCGGAGGTTGACGGGTAAGACGTATGTGGTGACCGGTGCGGAATAATCCCTCGAGTCGGGCCTACTGATTTGTCACGTTAATCACGATTACAGTCAAATTTACAGAAACGTCCACAGTCACGACTGCAACCACAACCGTTGATTCCTATTTCCATCCTCGTGAGAAGATGCTCACAAATCCTCTCTTCCCCGCCGAAAGAAACAGGAGGGGGAACCCCAAACTAAAGGCCTCCTGAGGTTCTTCCTGATGAGAGGACGAAAGAACTACATAAACATAAACTGTTGGAACTCCGCGAGAATTGCTTGGATCTGCGCTGTGCACCCCTTGCTTGGCAGGCACAGGAGGCGCCTGCCAACCTGGCAGGCGCCGTTGGCAGGCTGGCAGGCGCCTCCGGCGCCACCCTTGACGCGCTCCGCGCGTCCAGGAGGAGGGTTCAACGCCGATCCAAGAAATCCGCGCGGAGCCCCAAAAATTCCTGTTTATGCCGTTTTTGCGAGGCGGGGATGTATACATGGCGGTGGATATGGATATATATATATATATATGTACAAAACTATAATTACATCATATAATGTGTATAAATAAATAAACAAATAAATTATATATATATATATATACATATAGTTTGGCCCCAGGGGGGCCCAATCTATCCATATCCAACCCCTGCCAACGTCCCCGAAAATTGATCCTCCAGGCGGCGGGCATGCATAAATTCCCACCTCGGAATTCTGTGTTCTTCGACTGATCCTCTTAGCATTAGTGAGCGTTTCTTGTTCGGTGTTTCGGCATTGGGCGGAAGTGGGAGGGCCTGACTCTGGACATCTGCTTACAACAGTGCGTCCTACGGGGGAGACCCCACCTGCTTGAAACAGGCGCCCCGAACGGCCAAGATCTGCTCCAAGAGGGGCGGGGGGGAAGGGAGGGAGCCTACAAAGGACGTACGCGCCCAACCATGTACATGAACACGGCCCTCGAATCCGCGAGACCGGCCGCGTGATCCGAACGTTCTCGCAATGCGTACTCTCGAAACCAACGTGGATTCATGTACGTGTACGTCGCTCGCTCCTGAGAGGGAAAGACTACGAGAACCCGCGCCGATCGGCAGAACAACGAACAAGAGAACGACGACTTTTTGCTGTTGCTGTTGGACTTGCACGTGGACGGTCCTCGCTGGCCCTGGCCCCCTGCAGCTGGTACGGGGGCGCAGGCCCCTCGCCCGCCGTGACCTGCTGGGGCGGGGGCCGCCCCCGCCCTTGTGGAGCAGCACTCCTCTTTGGGTGACCCAGAAGGGGGTCCAGCTGAAAGCGGGTGGTGCAAAAGATCTGGGGCAATTGTAATACAAATGTATTGCGCTGGAGACTCGTATTGCATCGCACTGGCGCCCCAGAGCGTACTGCACGCCCTGCACGCCCCAGAATGTACTGCAACCCCACAAATCTATTGCACGAAATCTATTGCACCATCCCCTTGTCGCTGGACCCCCTTCTGGGTCAACCCGATCCTCCGACTCATGTTTGGCCGCACGCGCAAAGGGAGGGGGACCCAGATATGCTCGCGTTGCGAGAATTGGCGGCGCGCACGAAGGGGCAGGTGGAGGGGGGAAGGCTTCACCCCTGCTTCTCAGAAGGCGCGGGCCCTGTCTACGCAGGACCGGTGCACTTTAAGAAGCGGCCTCCTTCTAAGGAGCCTCCCCCCTCCCCCTACCCCCTTATGTGCGCTGCCAAGGGAAAAATCAAGACGGGATGTTTTGGTCAATTTTAGGCATGTGTGGGCCCTCGCCGGGCCCCGGGACCGTCAAAAAACGACTCGGGATGGAAAACAGGCCGCGGGGAATGGGTCAGGATTCCCGGGGATCGCGTATTGAAAAAATCCGCCGACACTTGGGGTTCATCGGCGTGTGAGTTGTTTCCCCCCCCTCCCCCGGGAGCCCGGCCCAGTCGATTTGGAGGGGGGGTGCGTCAGTGTGGTGGGTGAACGCGCCCAGGGGCGCAGAGGGCCGCAAAACATGTCAAGAGGGCCCCAAGAGGCCTCTGGGGCGGCCCACGAGGGTGCCCTCCAGACGGCCCACGAGGCCTCCAGGACACCCCAAGAAACTCAAAAGAGGCTTTCCAACAGAGCCCCCAGAAGCAAAAACCGCCCCATTCCCCACGGAAAGCGTGCATTTGTTGCACATTCGCATCTTCAGCTTTCACAACGTCTCAGACGGCCCAAGAGGCCTTCAAGTTCGCCCAAAGACGGGCCAAGAGACCCCCTAAGAGGGCCCCAAAACGACCCTGGAGGGCCCCAAGACGGTCCAAACAAAAACCAAAACGGCCCAGGGGGGCCCAAAACAGTTCCAGAAGGGAGCCCACAAGGGGAACCCGAACGGACTGTTCGAGACATCCACCCCAAGATGCTTCCGTGTTGCCCCAAGGAGCCCCCGACAGGCCCCCAGGAAGCCCAGAGATGACCGCCAAAAAACCCCCAAGAGGCCCCGAACAGGTTCAAAAAACTGCGCCCGGCGCGTATCCCACGAGATCCCATCAGCCATCCGAGCGGCCTCACGCCCGCAACCCATGTACGGTGGCAGGATGTTCCGAAGGCCATTCGATAATCATTCGTCTGGTGTTTTGGCAGACGTCCTCCGTCCGTATGCGTGGGTTTTCGCCCGTGTCCCAACGCGTGCCCGTGACCCTGTGACGTGCCCAGCCCATTTGCACCAAGTGACGCGAGGAGTTGGCTCAAACTTGCCAGGACAATGATAATGCAGGCACCGTTATGCGTCGTGCAAGCTACACGGGATGCGCCCACGTGGCACGATTCACAAGACACCAACAGAGGGACGAGTAGCGAGAGCCCAGGCTCGAGGAGAACATGGCGGCGGGAACGGAAGGCATGAGAAGGACGCGCGGGGGGCCGAACCGTCAGCGCGGCAGCGGCAGCGGGAAGGTGGGTGGCAGGGGGCAAGGGACGACGACGACGACGACGACGACGACAGTGACGGAAGGAGACAGAAGAGTGTTGCTTTGTCGGCAGTACGCTGCAGACGCAGCGCTGCCTGCGCCATGTCGCCGCGGCGCGCGAAAAAAATACCAAACCAGCTGAGAAATAATGCAAAAATCGCGCTGGCGCCGCCGCGGTGCCAAGTGCCGGACTTCCCCCCCTGGTTCCTCCGCTTTTTTGCCATCAACGGCAATGCCTCAGGAACGTTTAACCAGACAGAGCGATACACCCCTGCCAGGAAACAAAAACCTTCTATCCGAAGAATCGCTCGAAAACCGAGGCCTCGGACCAGGGGGGGAGCATCGTCTCCTATGAGCGCGTGCTCCCCCCCCGAAAACAAAAAGACTGCCGCCTCCTCCTCCGCCCCCCACCCCTCACCACCAGCACGGGCCCCGCCTTGAGGAGCGAGCCGGGCAGGGGCCTGAACGCCTGAACCTGCCCCTGCTCGGGGGGGCGCGGCGGGCGGGGAGGGCGAGGGGGGGGGGGGGGGGCACCGCAGGAGGGCGGGCCGACGCGATGGCCCGAGGGAGGCCGAGACAGGCAAACTGTAAGCAGTCTCGACCGCGACCAGGGGCTTATCGGGATGACAGCCCTTCTGAACCTTCCTCCAATTCCTCTGGCCCGTTATAGTGGGCGGGAGACACAGCTGACCCAGCTTCTTAACCTGGGCACCTGAGCTGTAACACCTGCAATGCAAGCACGTGAAAATAAACGAGTTGTCAGAGCAAGCTAATGCAATGACCTTGTGACCTAACCTGTCAAGCACGGCCGGGACAAGCCCGGGGCGCCCCCTGCGCCCCTCAGGCGAGGGCTTGGACTGGGACAGAGAACCCTGCAGGCATACTCTACATCTCCAGACATTACTGATGTGCCCCCAAAGGTGCTGCAACCTAGGAGCGGACGGAGCAGGAGGAGGAGGAACCCGCTCCACTCCACGAAACTCCACCCGAGGCCACAGGGGGAGGAGAGCCGCTCCTAGAGCCATCGCAGTCTTAGACACTTAAAGTTTCCAATCAAGTTCCCGCGACAGCAGAGGGTCGAAGGGGGGGTGTCGGGCTACCGCACGCTTAGCACCAGCATCAGCCAGCTCGTTGCCCTTCCTCTGATACCTTTCCTCAGGGGATAAACCATCCTCTCCTGGGTCGAGGTGGGCAGCGACTTTGGCCAGAGAGCGCAGCTTCCCCTTCCCTAGAGCAAGACCTTGCAGCATGAGCCCAGAGTACACCCTCTTGGGAGATTTGCACACATCGAGGCCTAGGGAATACTGCTAAACCACATTGGCACAATCGCTGCACGCATCGGCACTGCCGCCCACGCAGATACCTATACCACAGAAGGCCGAATACTCCGCGGCCTGAGGAGACTGGGCATACGGGGGCCGCACAGGGGCCGAGACTTCACAAAGCAGGTTGGCATCGGGGTCCACCATAGCAACACACCAAGCGCTCCTGCATAATTCAGACACAGGGTGGAGGATGCACGAGCCATCGATAAAAAGAGGCCCCCAGACGCCTAATTCAGGAGAGGCGAGGACGGGTTCCAGGGATCCAGGCGGGGAGGCCTCGGGAACCATCCAGTGAACCAAGACTTCACCATTGTACTCGGGCCTAGGGAAATAATCTCCAGGGTGCCTGAAGGCACCGTAAACCCACAGTGGGAACTCGTAGTCCTCCGCCCCCGTGTCGAGAGCACCAGCTATGATGTCAGCATCCGCCATTTCTTGCCGCTCAGACGCACAAGACGGGCACTCCCAAATGCGATGCCATAACGTATCCACCGACTCGCGGCACAACTGGCAGAGGTCGCTAATCTGGCACCCTGCCAACTTCGCTGAACTGGCCGTCCAAATAGCATTACAAACAAGAGCTCTCATCGTGGAGCGGTCTCTCGGGCTGGAGCGCTTCGACCTGATTTTGGACCTGACAATGCCCCAACAAAGCCTGCGGTCGACCCCTAGCGCCCCCCCCGAAGACCTTTCGAGCCCCCTCAGCACGACAGCCCGACACAAAGCCCCCACCAGCTTCGGAGACAGGAGGAGAAGCTGGAGGGTCCCCCCTAGATCGTTAGTAATGGTGCAAAAATTAGGCATGTGCAACCCCAGCCGGTACAAAGAAATTCTCAGCGCCGAAATCGGACCCCTCACTTTGGCCCAGGACCAGTGGTCCTTGCTGAAGGTGACCTCCCACGCTGAGCGTAAAATGGCGAAAGGATGGGCACCGTCAAAAGCGTGCGTTTGAACGAGCCAAAGCTCTTTGCACCAACGAACGACGGGCGCGACACTGGCCCTCCAAGGGGGGTCACCTTCAAGGAGGGAAGGAATGGTGAGGGAACGGTGCTGGGACTTGGGTGAGATCGCGGCCATGCCTTTGCTCCTGAGCGCGCGAAGCTCACGGTCCGAGACACCCCAGATTTCAGCCCCAAACGAGACGCCCGCCAGCGGGCCAGACGCGAAGATTTTGAACGAGGCGCGGCCCAGAACTTGCTTGTGCTTATTGGGGCGCCTGCACTGACGAAAAAACTTGGCCTGTCGAGCTTTGAGTTTAGCCGCTTTGCCCTTACTGTAGCCTGGGGTTGCGGAGCGCAATGAGCGGCCTGCCGTGTAGTCGACGCCTAGGTTCACCACTGAGGCGGATGGCTTGCCACACAACTCTCCCAGCCGCTCTTCGAGTTGATGCGCAACGGACTTGTGGCTACACACGCAGCCGACCTTGTCGAGGGCCAGCGTGCATCCGAGCTCCTGAGTGACCGCCTTGTGCAGATTCACCGAGGAAGAAACCAGCGCCTCAACCACTTCGGGAACCGTGCCCGTGTGCGAGAGGCAGGTATCATCGATATAGGCGTCAAAGTCAGCGCCGTTCGCCAAGCCTGCACTCAACTTATCGAAAGCCTTGAGGGCGAAAACTCAGATAAAAGATGTCGCCATGGAACAACCCGCAACAACTCCAGACTTGACCCAGAACGGGCCTTCGATGATGCCCCCAAGGCTCAGGAACCTGCAAGAACGATACGCAGCCATGGCAACCCTGGCGATGACGGTGGGGAATTCAAGGCTGCGGCACTGACTTTCGAGGTACTCGGGCGAGATGCTCTCGTAGTACTTCTGAAGCTCATAGAACTCAGATCCAGCTGCTTGGCCTTTTGAGACACCCGCCTCGGCCTCGAAACTTTGCCTCCAGACCATCTCAGTAGCTCCCCTGTTGGCCCCGGCAGCCCAGCAGGGCCTCGCCCAACGTTTTTCCCACTC